AAAAGCATGAGGGGGGAGTAAAGATCCCAATTTTGCCCATCAATTTTCCAGCGAGGGGTACGGAAAGTGGTGAAAAGGAAGGGGAAAATAAGAATGATCGAAAATGATCGCTGTCATCAAACTGGGAGAACAGACCAGGGGAAAAATCTATCAGTGGAGGGGACAACTGATAACGATGCAAAAGAGAGTATGAGTAAGAGGATCAAAAGGGGGGAGACCCTATTTTAAAAAATGGAGGGGGGGGAGAGGCGAGAAAAGCCTCCAACTGGATGCCACGGAGTCACAATGAGACTTCCCCCCCAGGAAATGGTGGGGATTAAAATCACCAAGTAACAGAAGTGGTGGCGGTAAGGATGAAACAAGAAAGGCAAAGTCTGGGATAGAAAATGCTCGAGAAGGGGAGAGATATAAAGAACATATTGTAAACCACTTATTCAAGTGGATACGGGCTGCAGTGTAATGCAGCGAGGTATGGACAAATAGTTGACAGTACGGAATATCATTGCGTAGAAGAAGGGCACTTTCATTAAAGGTCCCATCTGAGAAAGGATCCGAAGAATACAATAAATTATAGCCTGAGATAGGTTGGAAAACAGCCGAGTGTAATTTTGGTTCTTGTAAGCAAGCACCAACAGGGGAAAACCTGGAAAGCAACATCTGAAGCTCACCCCAATTACCCGAGGCCGCGGATATTCCACTGTAAATAGGCCATGATTGGCGATGAAGAAAATATCAGGAATCTGTAGGTAAAGGCACCTACGGACTAGAGGGGTTAGAAAAGTCAACGTGTGGTGGCACTGGAAGACGTTCAAGTAGCGAAGGAACGGAGCGTTGCGAAGAATGGGGTTGTGAAGATGGAGGAGAGGGAAGAGAAGGAACAGGAAATGAATCAGTGTCCATTGAAGGTTTAGTCTCTGCAATATATTCAAGTGTTTCTGAATTCAAAGATGTATGGGAGACCATATTGGAGATAGAAGGAGGAGGGTAAGTAAAGATTGGGACAGTAATGGACTGTACCAAAGTAGAGGGGGAGGGAAGAGTGTAAGGGACTGGAGATGAAGTGTGGGGGGAGACAGAAGAGGCAGAAACCTGGGAGGTGGCAGAAGAGGGAGAAACTTGGGAGGGGACGGGGGTGGAAGGCATAGTACGAGGAGGAGGATGAATCTCCACATTGTAATAGAGCCAGAGAGAGGGGAAGAACTAGGTACAGAGACTGGAAAGGTAAAGTGTGGAGGTGGAAGAAGGGAAGGAAGGGGCAAAGAAGATTTGAGCAATGTGGATTTTTTGGACTTCTGAGTAGAGGGGCGATTGGTATTAGGTGTCGTACGAGGTCTTGTCGATACTGGGGCTTGTGAGGAAGGACGCGAAGATGTGAGAACAGACTGAGTTGTAGTCGGGACGTCAGAGCCAAGGACAGCAAAAGGATTAGATGCCGTAGTGGCTATGGGAGGGGTAACAACAGAGGAGGCTGCAGAAGATGGGACCCCAGAAGTGGGGGGATGTTTGGAAACACGAGAATAAGAAACACGGGGTAGTCTCCCTTGGAGGCGGAGATGAGTAACTGCCATAGCATAAGGGAGACCATCTGCCTCTTTGAGGCAACGGATTTCACGTTCATTTAAGTAGACCTGGCAACGGCAGGAGTATGAAGGGTGAGCTTCATTACAATTAAGGCAAGATGGAGGTTGACTGCAAGATGTATTAGAATGGTCGTTGGCACCACAGACTGGGCATTCGGCCATAGATCTGCAATATTTCGCTGGGTGACCAAAACGCCAGCAATTTCTACATTGTTGCGGTGTAGGCATCACCTTTCGAACTTGTAACCGATGTCCCGCGACATATACAGAGGACGGGAGTTCTCGGCTGTCAAAAGTTAAACGAGCCACATTGCAAGGGTAACGTCTCCGCCCCCGGGCAGGAAGGACATAAGTGTCTACTTTGAGGATTGGGAGATCCTGGAGTTCCAGCTGTTCAAAAATGTCATTGCCACATGACTGGAAATTCTGTTGGACTATGGTATGGGGCAGAATGACAGTACCACTACAAGAATTGAGAGAGAGATGTTTTTCAATAGTGACAGGAGTAGTATCGATATTCGAAAGGAGAGAAAGATCATGAGCTTGGGCAGCATTCTGGACAGTGACGATGCGCATACCGCTCTTGAGAGCATGAAATGAAAAAATCTCTACCAACATGACGCAGGAGCGCTTTGCCAATACTATGGTCAGAAAGGTAGGCAGAAGAAGAAGTCGGTCTTAAAGTAAAGAATTTAGTCCATTGTGTGGTCCGAAACTGAGCGTGGAGAGGGAGTGCTTGACGTTGTCGGTCTTTTCCGAGTAGAATGGGAAAGTAACGAAGGAGCATCATCAGGAGATTGACTTTGGGCGTTTAGGAGTAGAACCGGAGTTGGTCCGGCGTGAAATGGGCGGGCGATTCGAAAATTGCCATACCGTAGAGGAGAACCCGGGAAAGCATAGTCAAAGGAGAGCGAGTTCAGAAAAATCGAAGGAGTCAGTCGAACCCCCGGGTCCCTGAAGCGGGTGAGGAAACAGCACCAGCAAGAGGTACAGGGGCATCAGGAGTGTCCGAAGAGCGGTCTAAACACAAGGTGGGTCAGAATGGGGTGCGGTTATCAAGAAGGGGCCGGGGGTAGTGGGTTCATGGATAGGGCTCCCCATGGTTAGGTTACTCCTTTGCTTTTTGTTTTTAAGAAAAAAAAAGAAAGAAGAAAAGAAAATAAAATAAAAAAAAGAATAAAAAAGGGGGGAGCGGGGAGGAATATTTCCCCAGGAGGAATGAAAGGGCCGGAAATCTCCCTCCGCGCCCAAGAGGACCTCAACACCGTAGTAGCGCAGATGCAGCATGGAACCCGTGCCATCCCCTACCCTTCATGCCAGTAAACAGCAATCCGGGATAGCAACCTCACATCTGCCGACCCTCCCTCGGTGGACAAAAGAGAGGGGCGGCCGGATATTTCCCCCACAAAGATACCTCCTTCGGCCCCACCCCCGGAATCCGAAAGGTGGCTTCCAGAGATACACCCGTCGCCCGAAAGACACCCAAAGCTACTCCGGGATACCGGAGAGGGATCGGGACATCCCCAGGCAATCCAGATTCCACGGCAAAAATACGCCACCGCCAAGAACCTCAACGGAATGGGATGGACCCCGGTGTTCTTTCCCCCACCTAGGAACTAGCGCGCCTGTGGGAAAAAATCCCCAAAAGGCCAAAAAGAGGAAGGGCAAAAGGGAGGGGGGAGGAGGAGGAGGAATGGAAAAAGGGGAGGATGGGATATTATTATTATAATAAAAAAAGAAGCGCTAACCACAAGGACTATACAGTGCGGAGGAGGGATAGGGGAGGGAAGGGAAAGGGGGGTAATTAGGTTCGGTCTGAGGAAGAAGACCAACAGGGCTAATTCCTCAGACCAAGAGCCTCTTCACCACGCCAAGGAGCCCCCCTTGAAGAGGAAAGGGTTGGAGAGAGGGGGTAAAGGAGGTTTTGTGGGCAAGGGGCTTGGACTTCCCGCAAGCGTGCGTGAGCGTGTTAGATAGGAGTGAATGGGACGAATAGTACTTGGGACCTGACGATCTGTTGGAGTGTGGGGCAGGGTAATATTTAGTGAAGGGGTTCAGGGGAAACCGGGTTATTTTCATATAATCGGACTTGAGTCCTGGAAATGGGAAGTACAATGCCTGCACTTTAAAGGAGGGGTTTGGGATATGTTGTGTATCTTTATATGTGTATGCTTCTAAAATGTGTATTCTGAGCACCCCCTGCAAAAACAGTGATAATGTGTGAGTGTGGTGGGAAAAAGTTGAATGATGAAAGTATTTTCTTTTTGGGGATTTTCTTTCTTTTTTGGGTCACCCTGCCTCGGTGGGAGACGGCCGACTTGTTGAAAAAAAAAAAAATTGTATTTGTGTGTACCTGTGAGACAGATAAACAGAGACAGACAGACCCTAAACTTGGGGTTAACATCACTTTTCTCTTAAAAGGGAAGTGTTCAATATGACATTACATCGGCAAATCCTTGGCGTTTGCCGCACTGTTTGCTTGAGCTGGCGCTCGGTTTAACTGACGCCCCCACAAGGTACTAAGTGGTCCCAGATTCTTTTTAATATGGTGCACACTGAGTGCTAAGATCCATTCTATGCTGACTGGGCATCTCAGGCCAATCATGCCAAATTTGGAGGCGGGAAAATTAAAACATATACATGTATATACGGTTAGCATAGGCACCACTGTGACCACAAATGCGTTTGGACCGTTTAGGGGGTTAAGCAGAGGACAGGTCCAATTATTATTCTTTACACAGGACCCCCTCACCAGCATCAAGGAAATTTTCTGATATAGATTTTGCCATAAAAAAAAAAAAATTGGAAAATACAAATATTATACACTCTTGCAGTGCAAGTTGTAGCTTCAATTCTTTCTAGAATCCTTCCAGCCTTACCATAAACATTTTCCTCTTCATTCTACAGGGACAGAATGCATTGGCGCTGTATGACCCTCGTTTAACACTTCATTTTTGGTGATAATGCGTAGAATTCACTTCCAATATCAACAACACCCTAATGTACTCATTTTGACTAAAGTCCCACCTTTAACCCTTAAACTGTCCAAATGTAGATCTACGTTCACGTGCGTAGCGCTCCGACCCTTATTTTCTCCATTTGAAAGCATGTAAAAAAATGTACATCTAAGTTTGGAGCGCTACGCACGTCAACGTAGATCTACCTTTGGACAGTTTAAGGGTTAACACACTCATTGTGTGACTAACACACTTGCACCATGTCTTTACTTTCACACTTGTGCTAACCCCCAACCCCTTCTACACCACTACCCTTGCACATCCCTAACCTTTGCACACTCCTGCCCAGTGATTTATAGTAATAATTCGATAGGGATTGTACTCTATAAATACCAGGGCCATCAAGAGTGAACACAATTCACATATGCAGAAAACACCATTATGGGTCATTCAGAAAACACAATTCAAAGGTGTTATTCTTTATTTACAGTCAAAGTTCCACTGATGCTGTATATTGTACAGCTGTAAATATAACTGATAGCCTACATTTTACTACTTATAAATGTACAATCAGCATTTTGTCTAAATGTTGAGAGGTATAAATACACATTACAATATGCAAATACAGCAGTTTATATTAGTTACACTATTGAACCTTTCTACTCCCTGGGCAGTATGCTTCCCCAATAACTACATTATAATCAAAACTTAAGCACTAAACCAACAGGGTCATACAGCACTGCAATAGGAACTGCAACTTAAGCAATTAAATACATGTAACTAGAAAAGTTAAATGGTAAACCCAAAAGGGTCTCTAATTAAACAAATGGGAGTTTTATTTTAATAAAAACAGACATCTTTACTAAGTATAGGTAGTAGGTTGGTAGACAGTAACCACCCAGGGAGGTACTACCATCCTGCCAAGTGAGTGTAAAACAAGCCTGTAATTGTTTTACATGATGGTAGGATTGCTGGTGTCTTTTGTCTGTCTCAAAAATATGCAAGATTTCAGGTACGTCTTGCTACTTCTACTTACACTTAGGTCACACTACACATACATGTACAAGCATATATATACACACACACTGCTCTGGGTTTTGTTCTATTTTCTTTCTAGTTCTTATTCTTGTTTATTTCCTCTTATCTCCATGGGGAAGTGGAACAGAATTCTTCCTCCGTAAGCCATGCGTGTTGTAAGAGGCGACTAAAATGCCGGGAGCAAGGAGCTAGTAACCCCTTCTCCTGTATACATTACTAAATTTAAAAAGAGAAACTTTTGTTTTTCTTTTTGGGCCACCCTGCCTCGGTGGGATATGGCCGGTTTGTTGAAAAAAAAAAATCTTTACTAAGGCAGAAAAATTTATTTTACTGCCAAGAAGCAGCGCTGTATGACCCTGGAGACCCTCGTGGGTTTAGCACTTGGTTTTGATTATAATAATGTAACACTTGGTTTTGATTATAATAATAATACTGCCAAGTAAAATGTACAATGGTGCCAACATTAGCTGAAATACAGAAGTAAATTATATTTTGATCAGGCAAAGCCTTAAAACCCATAGGGGGTCTTATAGTGCCTAAGAAATGAGAGGCATTCAGGTTCAACCCAAGGAAGGAAGGCATTAAGCCCAGCTCCTCGGATCAAGAGCTCCTCATCAGCATCAAGGCATCTTTTTTGAGGAGACAGTTAATCTGAGTACCAACCACTTGATTAAAATTGCAGCACACATCATTACATTATTCTACAAAACTGTTGCACTTGGTTATACCTTTCAAATTAAGGTCTCTTCATGTGTGATGAGCTCTTGATCCAAAGAATTTAGATAACTTACATATCTTTAGATCAAACCTGATTGCCTCCATTCTCCTAGGAACTATGACCCCAGTGAGTTTAGAAATTCCCCATTAATATAATAGTCTTTAATGAATATAAAAAGTCACTAAAGATTTTGTGAATCAAGTAGCTGTCCATCTGATCGAGGGAAACTAACAAACGATATACAAAATCATATACATGTAGTACATATATTTTACCTTCGTATAATGAGGACTTAAGAATAACAGCACATTATATCTGTTAATGGCCTCATTCCTTAATTGAAAAAGGATATATTACAAGACTAAATATAAGAAATACATGAAAGCAAAGTATATACCGAATGTAGAGGTAAGATTTATGTCATCTTGCATATTCATGAGATAGAAAAGACCAACAATTCCAGAAGAGTGCAAAACATTTAACAGGCTAGCATTTCACAAGCATATTAAGAGTACAATAGTTCCTCCTTGGATGGCTGGTGTCTACAAATGCAATTTATCACTCAAATGATTTACCCTTTTACCATATGACATTTAATGACCCACAAGGAATTACCACATTACATAAAAATAAAACGTTGATTGATCTGCATGAAGCAAAATGCTCTAGGACCTACTGTTATTATTTGGTGCATTTTAAACTTTAAAAAAAAAAATGCAAAATTCTGTGATTTTGCTACCAATTTTTTTTTTTTTTTTTTTTTTTTTTTTTTACCTCAATGGTCATTTCCCACCAAGACCTTTACAAAGAAAATGTGTTCATCATTAATTCAACTGCTGTCTTGCCAGAATGTGCTGACATCACAATTTGGATTACTCTCCTAATGCAACATCCCCACCTCTCCTTCAGAGTGCAGGCACTGTGATATTATATTCAGGGGATCCACTAAACACACTGGGATTGGGGGTAATGGGAGGTCAGGACCTAGAGTCCTCAACAGTATCAAGGAAAGGCAATAAAGATATTAACATTAAATTTTCATCCCTTTTTACCATTAGGAATTATTATACATAGTGTAAGAATCTGTCCAAAATGCTCAGGCATGCTAGTTGCTTTCTTTGTGCTGAACAATAATTAATAACTTGTAAATCTCACACTTTATACTGTGCAAAGAAATAAAAACTTGAATCTGAATACTCTCAGATCCTGTGGGACTTTTCTTGAAGCTGAGCAGCACTGTATTACCCTTACAGGTTTAGCACTTGAACTGATAATAATAATAATCTCTTCTTTCAACAACCGGCCATATCCCACCGAAGCAGGGTGGCCCAAAAAGAAAAACAAAAGTTTCTTTTTAAATTTAGTAATTTATACAGGAGAAGAGGTTACTAGCCCCTTGCTCCCTGAAAATATTATTAATAAACCACTAAGAGATGTTTGACAGTCTGAATTATGTTACAAATTTCACAGAAATAAAAAGGGGCTCTTGCAAAAGTAATGAAACAGCTCACATTAGCATGTATTCATTAAATTATGCAGTATTCTCACACCAGCAATCAGGTGAGCCCCTCAACTGTTGGTTAAGGGCTCTTAATTCAAGGAACTGAGCCATCCTTCCCTTCTTTGATTATTATTATCAAAAAGAAGCACTAAACCACAAGGGCTTCCCTTCTTTGAACTGAACCTGAATTGCATCCCATTTCAATATGGTGCACACAGGCTGATTGCATGTCTTTGAATAATAATAACCTCCTCAGGTGCCGTATGACCCCTACGGGTTTAGTATTTTCCCCCAATTATAATAATTCATATACAGTATTTGTGCTCTTTAGCAGAAACTTCACAGAAGCTACTCTGAAGCTTGAAATTTAAATATGTACTGTATATACTGCAGTTTAACCTATACCACAGCGGTTTTAAAAGTAGTACAATATTCTAAGAATTACCGATTTTTACGAGAGCTATGGTGATGGCTGGTTATGCGTGTTGTGTAGCTTGAGATAAGTGCCATCAGCACCCCTACATTGCAGCAGAAAAAAGCTATGCCTTCTAACCATATGGGTACAAAAGCATTAATAGCATGAAATTCCAACAAATAAGCTGGAAGTAGCCAAGATGCTTGAGCTGCAACCCATAACACACACAATAATGTAGCTTTCTGCCAAGTAAGTTTCAATCGTGGTACTATAATGGGTAAGAGAAGAATGTACCACAAGAAATACTGTGATGTTACTACTTTGTTAAAGGTAACAAAAACTACAGTCTGTGTAAACATTGCAAAAGGAACATCTGCACAGTTACCAAATTTATATCCAAGTGCAAACAGCAGAATTATTTGAGGCCCAAAAGTGGCAACACTTAACCCTGGAATATGAAAATCTGCACCAATGTATAGAAGGTAGAAGTAAATAGAAAAATTGTGCCTAGTGTCTGTACGTGTAAGATGATATAAAAAGGCTTCCTCAATATACTGTTCTCCATACATTGCAATACCTAATCCTGTCAGACCAAAAAAAGAAGTTAAAGAACCTACCACTAATCTCATTTTTGAGTAGGTTGGCATTAATCGTCTCCAACCCCAATGCTGATGAAAGTCACTAGTTAATGACAAGTATAGTGGAAGACTATAGATAAGTGGATACAGTTTGACATGAACAGACATACCTAGGAATAGCCCAGCAAGAAGGTAGAGTCGTAATTTCATCATATAAAGAGTAAGTAACACTAAAACTGCCATGATGGCCTCGGCACTCCCTCTTGTGGATACCCCAATCACCAGTGGGTTGTATAACCATATGAAGGAACACTTGAGAGCAGTTAATTTGCTTTGTCCATCCTGTATAAGTAATTCATAGATTAGTTTTGCAGCAACACAGTCTAAAGCAGAGAATAACAATTTTCCAAATGTAAAATTAATATATACATTAGGCATGAGGATCCAAGCAAGAAAAGGGGTATAGCGATATGTATGGCGATCAAAAGGAGATCCCCCTGCAGCTATTTCACGTGAAGCATCAGTAAAAACATGGTAATCAATATCTGTGTACTTAAGTGTATTTGTTTTATCATGATGTTCACCATACACAATAAATAGAAGTCTAATCAAGAATCCAAGGAAGAGATGGATCTGAATTACTTCAGTTGATCCAAATCGTGAGCCTCTTGTACCTAAACCCATTGTGGTGACTATATGAAATCAATACGAATTAACTATTCATGTTTCAGTATGAGTATTTCATAGTGAAAAATATATTTAACAAATACTAAGTGCAAACTCTGCTTTAGAATCAAACTAATATTTAGTTTCATGCATCTTACTCAGTGAAAGATGTTTCATCTAAATGATTTTCTAATAAAATATGCATATTGCACACAAAATTATCAACACTGATTAGTCAAGTACTGTACTTCAAACTTTTGTTTTCATCTTTCTGGCAGTTTCCATGACGCATTTCTTGAATGATGCAAATTCTGCTGCACAATCGCCTTTCAAAACATTTTCCTTCAGTGCTACACAACGAGCATATTCTACTGCTGAAGATCCACATTCGGCAACTAGCTTAGGGTACATCTGAAGACGATGACGTGCTTTTTTCACAGATTCCATTATAATACTGGTCTATATCCTCTTTCTTTAACTCGAGGTCCTACTTTGCTTTCCTTTATGAGTGAGTCATACAGGAATTTGCTGAAAAATATCAGTAGTCCTAAGCCTACTGCAGTAAAATGGAATTTATAAGGGTTGCGTTTTATCCAAAGCTGTACCCGTCCAATTTTCTTTTGTGATTGTGCCTGTGCATGAGAAGAAATGACATTAATAATTACTTAGGATTACAATGACATTAATATTACTAGACAAAAGTAGGTAATAAGAGGTTATTGTTTGCTAGCTAAACAAGGTATATCTAATAAATTTCCATGAAGTGCTGGTCTGCTGTAGAATCTGCTGCAGCTAGTGTATATATCCAGAAAGGCTATTATTTTGTGTACAGTATTTTATTGTTTTCAACATGTCAGCCGTCTCCCACCAAGGCAGGGTGACCCAAAAAAAGAAAGAAACTTTCACCATCATTCACACATAATCACTGTCTTTAAAGAGGTGCCCAGATATGACAGCGTAGATATCGCTTCAAACAGTCGATAGCCCAACCCCCACCTTTAAAGTGCAGGCACTGTACTTCCCACTTCCAGGATTCAAGTCCAGCTAATTGGTTTCCCTGAATCCCTTCACAAAATATTACCCTACTCACACTCCAACAGCTAGTCAAGTCCCAAAAACCATTCATCTCCATTCGCTCCTATCTAACACGCTCACACATGCCTGCTATGTCCAAGTCCCTTGCATACAAAACCTCTTTTACCCCCCTCCCTCCATCCTTTTCTAGGACGACCCCTACCCTTCCTTATTTTCACCCCAATCTTAGGAATTGAAAAACTTATGATGCTAGTGTTTAACCCTTTCAGGGATTCTGACGTACCAGTACGGCTTACACACCAGGATTATTGACGTACTAGTACGCCTAAATTCTAGCGCCTTCAAATCTAGGAAGAGAAAGCGGGTAGGCTGACATATGAAAGAATGGGTCTATGTGGTCAGTGTGCAGAGTATTAAAAAAAATCCTGCAGCACACAGTGCATAAGGAGACAAAAAAACTTTGATAGTTTTTTGGTTTAAAACAGCGACTTTTCACTGAATTTTCGTATGGTATTTATGGTTGTATGGTATTTATGGTCTCATTTTATAGAATGGAATACATATTACAGAAATTGAGATGATTTTGATTGGTTTCACAATAAAAAGTACCTTGAAATTGAGCTCAAAGTAGCAGAAATGTTCAATTTTTGCCAAAGTTCAAAAGTAAACAAATTATGCCACACGTCCAATACACGTCAACTGGCAAGTCTAATATTCTTTCACAAGTGCGCTGATATTCGTTATACCATTTCTACACTAATGCAGTAGTCTTCATAACAGTAAATCTTCTATTTTTTCTAAGAATAAAAATTCAAAGTGGAAAGCACAAGAAATGTAAGAGGGACCTGGGGACGTGACTAATGAACAGAGGAAATGTTATTTTAGTGCCAGGAATGTCTGTCTTGTTTATTCTGGACCCTATTTGAAAATTGGCATCTTTTGAAATTTGTGTGAAATTGGCAAAATTGCTAATTTCTGGCCACTTTATTGGATAGTTGAAATCGGTAAATGGGTGGTTTCTTGTACTCATTCGATAGGAAAAATGGAGTTCTAGCGAAACAGTTATGATTTCTGTCGACTAGTACACTGGAATTGGCCTATGGAATTTGTGCATGGGGCTCAACAACAATTAACCATCTCAGACCACTAATTACCCAACAAAAGGCTGCAGTTAGAATGATAACAAATTCTCACTACAGGCAGCACACTCCACCAATATTCAATACACTAAACCTACTCACCATACAAAACATCCATACTTATTACTGCACCTATTACATACATAGAACACTTAACTCTGATATTAACCCTCCCCTCAAACATCTCCTTGCCAACCTCAACAGAACACATGACCATAACACAAGGCACAGATCACTCTTTGATGTTCCTCGTGTCCATCTCACACTATGCAAAAACTCAATGCACATAAAAGGCCCTAAAATCTGGAATTCATTACCTGTAAATATAAAAGAAACACTACCTGTTTATAAATTCAAGTCTCTTCTCAAAGATCACTTACTCACCCAAAACCAAATAAATACTGAATAACTGAACCTTATAAATTGTATATCTTAAATGTTTCTCACAATTGTATCACATAAATGTTAAACCTAAAACCGAATCTAACTTTATTATTTTTTAAATACACTACCTAACAGAATCCTTCATATGACTGAATGCAACCATATGACCTGTCTTTGTAATACTCACTTGTGCTTTATAGTAATCTGTTTACATTAATGTTTTATCACTGATTTCATCATTGCTTAGTTAATCTTAAGTTAATTTTAAGCCAGCCCGTAATGCTATGCATAGTATAAGTGGCTTTGGCATGCTGCTCTTATCTGTATTTTTTGTACCTCTGTATGTGTGCTCAAATTGGAAATAAATAAATAAATAAATAAATACATAAACATCGTCAAGACTGCTAACTTCGCAAGAGCATAATTCCATAAGTTTTCCATCAAATTTCATACTTTTTGTGTCATTATGATCGGGAAAAGATTCTCTATCTTTTCATACGAAAAAATAATTTTTTTTCTGAAAAATTTTCAACCCTGAGAAAAAGTTTAGGAGAGGGCCTCTCGACCCTGAAAGGGTTAAGGGGATTGCAGCCTCAATTGCCTTCATGTAGTTAATAGACTTTAAGCCCTTGCAACTTTAAGGCTGAAGAAGCATAAAGTGCACTTTAACCCTTTCAGTGACCAGGGTCCCTCATGTAGTTCTACATTATGAGCTCAGCTCACTCAAATAAGTGGTAATTGACTATTGTGCATGTATCCTTCTTTTTGTGTGTAGGAAAATGTACATCTCATGTGGTAAAAAAAAAAAATTCATAGTTTTGGGTGTTTTGCACGGATTAATTTGACTTCCATTATTTCTTATGGGGAAAATTAATTCAACCTTCAATCATTTCGTCTTACAATGGGCTCTCAGGAACAGATTAATATCGTAAGTCGGGGGTCTACTGTAACTGTAGCACTGTACTTGTAGAAATAAAGATTATTTATATTTTATAATTAATATTCAAATTGATATTTTATAATTAATATTCAAATTGATATTTTATAATTAATATTCAAATTGATATTTTATAATTAATATTCAAATTGATATTTTATAATTAATATTCAAATTTATATTTTATATAATTATTATTATTATAATCAAAAAGAAGCGCTAAGCCACAAGGGCTATACAGCACTGCAGGGCAGGAAGGAAGCGAGGGCATCAGGTGGCAAAAGGGAGGTGAATGAGTAATAGGTTACGGATAACAGTGGAGCAGTGGATGGTGAAAGGGTAAAGGGCAGCAAGAGACTGAGCTAGAAAGGGCTGAGGGGAGTGCGTAAGGTATCATCAGAGTTTGTGGAGTAAACCAGTCGTTGTCAAGAAGTCAATGAGAGAGTCAGGATTAAAGGAGGGTCCATCAGCAAGAAGGGAAGGTAGAGAGAGAGTAGTAGAACGAAGACGGCGTTGGAGGTAAATTCTGCGTGCTCGTTGATAGAGAGGGCAGTCTAACATTATGTGGCTAATCGATACTGGAACTTGACACTGCTCACAGAGAGGTACAGGGTGCCTCTCCATGAGATACCCGTGAGTAAGACGAGTGTGGACAATGCGAAGATGGGAGAGAGTGGTCTCCCAACCATGGCACTGATGACAAGAAGACGGCCAGTAACCTATGCTCGGTTTAATAGAATGAAGTTTGTTACCAAGCAGAGTTGACCAACGTTGTTGCCAATGGGCGCGAAGGTGGGCAGCTATTGTAGCAAAATAGTCCAGAAATGGAACACCTCTATAGGAAATTGGTAGGTCATGTACTGCTGACCGCGCAGCAGTGTCTGCCTGTTCATTGCCCTGTACGTCAACATGACCAGGGACCCAACAAAAAATAATATCTTTATGCTTCGTAGAGATACGGCGTAGCCAAAGTTGGACACAGAGAACTAGGGGGTGAGATGTATCAAATTTTCGTATAGCCTGTAGAGCACTAAGGGAGTCTGAGACTACCACAAATGATGACACAGGCATAGATGCGATACGAATAAGTGCTGCAAGAATGGCATACAGTTCAGCAGTAAAAATGCTAGCCGAAGATAGTAAATGCCCCCGCACGACGCTGTCCGGAAACACTGCTGCGAATCCGACGCCGTCTGAAGACTTAGAGCCATCTGTGTACACAGCGGTGGCATGAGAATGGGAGTGGAAGTGATCAAGAAAAAGAGAGCGGGAAGCCACCGTAGGCAGTTGAGCTTTCGGGCAAGGGAGTGAGAAAGAACAGACCCGAACAGCTGGAACTTCTGCATAGAGGCTCTCAACAGGGGAAGAGCGAAAAGCACCAAGGCACAAACGTAATCCTTGGTGATGGATAGAGTTAAGGCTAGAGAGAGTAGCAGGAGAGGCCGCGGAATAAATCTGGTCACCATAATCGAGTTTCGATAAAACGAGGGCTGAATGTAGGCGAAGCAGAGTTCGACGATCAGCTCCCCAGGAAAGATGAGCAAGGGTTTTAAGAAGGTTTAGCCGGCTGTGACAAGTTGCCTTCAGAGAGGTAATGTGAGGTTTCCAGGATAACCTACGGTCAAAGAGAAGGCCTAGAAACCTGACTGTATCACGTTCGGGGATACGGGAGCCATAGAGATACAAAGGATGATCGAAGATAACAGAGCATCTAGTGAAAGTAATTTGGTGAGTTTTGGTACTTGAAAATT